TTTAGGGCTGTTGTACATAGGGTCGCTGAGTCACAAACGACTTGACGGCACATAACAACAACAACATAGGCAGAACAGTGAATGATCCAGAAAGCATGAAAAGATATTGAAGGCTGCATTTTTTGACCTTCTGCAGTAATGCCTTAGGTCCTCCTAAGCAAGCAAGCTTGTGCCATCTGCATTGTGTTGGCACTAGCAGTCAGGAAATCAAAAGAGTAATTGAGTGACTCATAGCGACCCTATGAAAAACAGATCTGAAGCCTGCCTACCCTGTGCCATCCTCACCATCTCCAACACACTTAAGCTCACTGCTGCATTCACCCTATCCACCTCATTGAGCGTCTTCCTCTCGGGGGCTAATGCTCCACCATTCCATGAATGATATCCCTTTTCAAGGAACAGCTTCTCCTAACAATATGCCCAAAATATGTGAGATAAAGCACCATCCTTGCCTCCTTCTCCAAGACATCTGTCTATTTCTTTGAGGGTAATCCAGAGGACATTCAATGCTTGTCTCCAACCCCACAACTCAAAGGCATCAACAATTCTTCTGTCATATTTAGTCACTGCCCAGATCTCAGATGCATAACAAGTGACTGAAAAAAAACCAGGGCCTGAATCAGGTGCACCTTAGTCTTCAAACTGACATCATTGCTCCTCCATAATTTAGAAAGAATACTGAAAGCAGGATTGCCCAAATAGGTTTAGCAACTCCCAATTCTAATCTCCATGAAAACTGGCGTGGGAAGATAGTAAAGGGCCTTAAAAAGCTAAGTGTTACTGTCCATGCACTCCTGCAGGTGGCTTCAATCTAGTTTTTCAATTAATGTACATCAGTTCCTAAGGGTTACGGTAACACAATGACCCAGAGCTGGTGGCTTTAAACAACAGTATTTATTTACTCACAGTTCAAGAGGCTAGTATCCAAACTCAGGGTATTGGCAGTGCCATGCTTTCTTTTTCTTTTTTAATTGTTTTAATTATTATTTTATTATTTTTTGTACGTGTATCATCAAATTAGATCTGACTAATACAGGAGGAGACTGCCCCTCCTTCTTCAGCACAGCATCTGGTAGATTCGAACCGTGTACCTCTGGGATTGCAAGAGCTCCTGTGCCATGCTTTCTTTAAAATCTATGCAGGGAGGATCCTGCCAGTCCTCCCCGGTCCTCTTCAGCTATGCATGCATCTTCACATGGCCATGTCTCCTCAGCTGTGTGTCATGGTCATGTCTCCTCAGCTGTCTGTCACGGCCATCTCTCCTCTGCTGTCTCTTGTCCTTTTTCACTGGACATCACTCATATGTGTTAGCACCTACCCTATTTTGGCATGACTTCATGCTAGCTTAATTAACAGCAACTTCAAAGACTACTTCCAAGCAAGGTCACATTTACAGGTGAGTTAGGATTTTCAGAGGGAAACAACTCCACTCACATCAGCCCCTCCTTCCCTGGCCATCTAAAATTCATGTCCCTTCTAGATTCAAAATGCATTCACTCTACTGCAAAATACTAAAAGAATAATCCATTTCAGTCAACCTTAAATTCAAAATTTCACCTTCTAACTTACCAAAATCAGGTACAACCTAGATATAATCCATCTTAGGGGAAAACTATTTCCCAACAAATACCTGTTGGTCTGTGAAACCTAGAATTATTTACTTCAGAATAGCAGTGATAATATGGGCTTAGCATACAGTCCCACTCTAAGGGGGAAAACTGGAAGGAAAGAAAGAGTTCAGAGACCCAAAGCATATCCAAAATCCAGCAGGACAAATTCCTTCAGATCTGAGGGTTTCATAATCCTCTGTCCTCTGAGCCCATGAATGTCAGGCAAGCATCTGCAGGCTCACCATGGCACCCACGCTGGCTTCTGGCCCACTCCTGGGATCATTCTTCCCTTTTCTTTTTTCTTTTAAATTTTATTTTATTAATTTTAATGAACATTTACAGAGATTTTGGATTTCCATTCATTCACTGTTGCACTCTTCTCCCTGCCCAGCCCTCCCCCCATCTTCCTTTTCTTAAAGTCAAGAGATGTTTGTAATCAAGCGACTCTCTTGACATGTTTCCCTGAAGAATCACAGAATAGACAGTCCCAGGATATAAACATCAGGCTGATGCACAACCTATAGTTACATACGAACCCTCATGAAGCCCATTAGGTTAAAAATTTGAGGTACATAAAATATTTCATAATAACAAATGAGCACCACATTGCAACATACACCAAAATATTTTTATGTTAAAGATTTATCTGGAAGTGTTTTAGATCTACCTTGATTGATATTCAGTATGAACCTAACACTAATTTATCAAATTTATGTATAAATTTGACATAGAGATTTAGGAATGGAAATCATTTCTAAACTAGCGACTGGCTGGAGTTCCCATTGCTTTCCATCTGTCATCTTGAGGGACACTCGATGTGGTAGCTATAGGGAACTATTCTCTTCTCGTGTAATTCATAGACTCAGAAAACCCAATGGAGAATTAAGTTATGAGTCAGTTTTGCTTGGTGGCAATAAGAGAGTTTTTGGTCCCTTTCAATCTAGCTGCTTCTTTTGATAAGATTAGGTACCTTCCAAAATCTCATGCCTGATTTTTTTAACATACTTTTGTTCAGTCACATCCTTTGCATTCTTCCCAGAGCACATTTCTTCACTTTTACAACATGGATAGAATGAGAATCTTGGACAGAATGAGAATCTTTCAAATCTTCAAATTCTGGTTCCCTTTTACATAGTTGGTTCCTCAATTTCTCCCTCTTCCCTAACCAACAAGAAGAAAACAGAATATGCTTTCCCTATTTTGCTTAGACATTATTCCAAATTCTACTTTCCACAGAACATGTGAACATAACTCAGCCAAGTTCTCTGACACCTTATCTCCTGTATCCAACAGCACTTAGCATTTTCTTTAAAGTCTCACCAAAAGCACATTTAACTTCCACATCTAGCAAGGTTCTGTCCTTAACAAGAAGTGCTTTCTCTACAACTCTTTGAATTTTTTTTGAGCAATTACCAAAATTATTATTTATGTCTATAATTCTACCAAAAAGATTTTTCCCAGCTTGTGCCTAGAATTTTTTGCAGCCGCTACCCACTTCTCAATTCTAAAGCAACATCAACATTCTTATGTATTTCTTTAGTAGCATCCTGCTTTCTAGGACCAAACTCCGCAATGGCTTCCCAGGGTGCTTTAACTAAATATCACAAACTGGGTAGTTTTAAACGACAGAAATTTATTGTTTCACAGGTCTGGAAACTAGTACTTTGAACTTAAGGTGTTGGCAGGTCATGTTCTCTTTGAAGGCTTGGGGAAAGAGGGATCTTGTATTTTCTCTCTCAGCTTTCTGTTAGCCCTGGCGTTCCTTGGCATGAATACGTATCTTCACATAACCACCATTCCTCTTATCTCTGTAGCTATTTTCCTTTCAGCACACACGTCACTCAGGTAGATTAAGCTCCATTCTATTAGGTATGAGCTCATATTAATAACATCTTCCCATCAACAAACAAATGGATATAAAAACTATGGTATATTCACATAATGAATTAATACGCAGAACTGAAAAAGAAGGTATTCATAAAACATTATGCAAAATAGTTAACCCTGGTGGACATTATGCTGAGTGAAATATCTCAGTCACAAAAGACCAAATACTGCATAATACCACCATTATAAAACAAGACTGACATGGGGGGTCAGATGGAAACTAGGGAAAGATGTTTACAAATGATGAACACTCAGTGGAAGAAATGAGGGAAAGAACTGTTTAAAAGGAATATATGATTAGGCATTAACTGTGTGACAAGTCAGGAATAAGAGATGTATAGAGCAAAGTGAACTGAGGGAAGGGCGAGAAGGGTGGAGGAGAGAGAAGGCAACAATTTTTTCTTTGTTTTTTACATGAACTGGGGGGTGGTTAAAGAAGAAAATGTACAATGAGTGAATAAAAATCCAACTTTCCTATTCCGGCGCCTCCACTCCGTCCCCTTCGGGTCTCCTGTGTGTGCAATGGACGGCATTGTCCCAGACATAGCAGTTGGTACCAAGCGGGGATCCGAGGAGCTCTTCTCTACCTGTGTCACCAACGGGCCTTTTATCATGAGCAGCTCGGCCTCTGCAGCCAATGGGAATGACAGCAAGAAGTTCAAGGGGGACAGCAGGAGCTCGGGCGCCCCGTCGCGCGTGGTGCATATCCGCAAGCTGCCCAGTGACGTCGCCGAGGGCGAGGTCATCTCCCTGGGGCTGCCCTTTGGAAAGGTCACCAACCTGCTGATGCTGAAGGGGAAGAACCAGGCCTTCATCGAGATGAACACAGAGGAGGCGGCCAACACCATGGTCAACTACTACACCTCGGTGGCGGCCATGCTGCATAGCCAGCCCATCTACATCCAGTTCTCCAACCACAAGGAGCTCAAGACCGACAGCTCCCCCAACCAAGCGCGCGCCCAGGCTGCCCTGCAGGCTGTCAACTCAGTCCAGTCAGGAAATCTGGCACTGGCCGCCTCAGCCGCTGCAGTGGATGCCATGGCCGGCCAGAGCCCCGTGCTCCACATTATCGTGGA